TCTGATACAGGCCATGGTCTTTGCAATCACTTGTTATGCATCAGAGAGTTAGACAATAACTAGGAAGGATAGAAGGAGAATTATTGCCTTTAAGCTGTGATGCTGGAGAAGAGTATTGCCTGTACCATGAACTGCCAAGAAAACAAACAGATTCATCCTGGAGAGGGTTAAAACAGGCTGCTCCTTGGAGGCAAGTATTCTGGGGCTTCGTCTGACATACTTTGGACATGTTGTAAAGAGGGATAGGTCCTGTAAGAGGGATATCATGCTTGGGAGGTTGGAGGGGCGGCACAGGAGGGAAAGGCCCTCTATGAAGTGGATTGATTCAGTGACTGGGGTAATAGTGATGGGTGTGTCAGAGGCAGTGCAATTGGCACAGGATAGAGCAGGGTTTAGGGCTGTTGTACATAGGGTTGCTATGTGTTGCAAGCGACTCGATGGCACATAACAACAACAACAACAAGAAGTACATATGTACATAAGAAAAAATATCAACCAACTCTTCAAATAAAATTTTTGTAATGGTAATTCATATACTTTTTTAGGTCATAGTTGTGATCATTGTCCAAAAGACTGGCTTTTATACTCCAATAATTGTTATTACATAAATACTGATAGGAAAACTTGGAATGAGAGTTGGATGTCCTGTGTGTCCAAGAATTCTAATCTACTTTACATAGAAGATGATGAAGAAATGGTAAGATTTTTTTGATGTTTCAATCATTATATTGAAAGCTTATTTTTCCCTCAATATTGTAAGAATTATGCCAGATTTGTAGTTCTTTTGACAATCCAACAGTAGCTTTGCAACGCCACAATTTAAAAGAATCAATCCTTCTATTGTCTTTATTCACTGATTTTTTTAAAATACACACATTTTGATACAATATAATTGGAATATGTTATATGAGATAGGCATTCATCAAACTTAATTTTATGAAGAATTTTAATATCAACGTTTTCATGCTAATATAGCAGTATCATTATTATATTAATAAGACACTTCCCTGATTATTGTTACTTTAAATATAATGCTATGCACCACAGTCCAGCATTAAAGTATACACTTTCATGAAGTAAAAATTTATGTTTCTCATCCATTTTCCTTATATTTTAATTTTCTCTCTCCAATCAGTATTTGACATATTTTGAATATGAACTCTTTCTTGATTTTTTTATCGCTTATTTAAATTTTTATTCCTATACTTTAGTATCTGAATAACCAATATTATTGAACATACTATAGAGTAATTAATCATTTTGGAGATATTGCTGCTTATGTTAATGGAGAGAGGGCCCTGTGGTGATTAGAGTCTTCAGCTGCTACCTTAAAGGTCACCAAGTTGATTCCACAAGTCACTCCACAAGAGAAAGACTAATCTACTTCCATAAGAATCTATAACCTTCAAAATAGGAGGCAGTTCTAATGTGCTTTCCATGTTAACTAAGATTTAGAATCAACTTGATGGCAGTGGGCTTACATTTGGTTAGTCTTTATTTTGAATCTCTTTTAGAAATTACTCAAATTCCATAAAGACATTTTGTTATATTTATCTTAAAATTATAGCTTTTGTCTGTATTTATTCTGTCACTTAAAATTATTTCACTTCTTACTTTGTTGTCTACAATTCATATGGTATTTTTGTGATAGTCTATGATACAATGAAATTGAATTAAAGTTCATATTTCCCTATACACTTATACAATTAATGACAATTTTTAGAAAACATAATCATTTCCCTAAACTCTATGTTACCTTGTTAAAAGTCGAGATGGGTGTAGGTGGTATATTGAGGGGCATTACTATGCTTCTCTTGTTACCAGCAGCCAGGAAATCAGGACTAATTGCACTGGGAAAATCAGCTGTCAGGAACCTCTCTAGAGTACCGAAGAGACTAAGGTGCACCTGATGCAGATCATGGCCTTCACAATTACTTGCTATGTGTCAGAAAGCTGGAGAGTATTGAATATACCATGCACTGCCAGGAGAACAAACAGGTTCTTCCTAGAGAGAGTGAAACCAGACTGCTTCTTCAAGACAAGGAATCTGAAGCTTCGTTTAACATACTTTGGGCATGTTGTAAGGAGGGACCTTGGAGAGGACATCATGCTTGAAAGGGTGGAGGGACAGTGCAAGAGAGGAAGAGCCTTAATGAGATGGATTGATTTAGTGACTGGGGTAATGACAGTAGGTGTGTCAGAGACAGGTTGGCACAGATTAAAGCAGGTTTCAGACTATTGTACATAGGGTCATTACGAATCACAAGCAACTCAGTGACATTTAACAACAACAACAACTATGCTTCGTTTTTCCTTCTTGCACCAGTACTGTAGAGTAAATATTGAAACTTCAGGTGAATTATTTGCATTTGGTGCCAGGGGTAATTTAATCATGCTTCTTCAAATATGTCTTTGTACATTGGCCTCATATGTGTCTGTTTAAATATTTTCTAAAAATCATCTTAATGCTATTATGTCTTAAAATATTTTTATTTTTGATGAATGCCACTATGTTGATTCAATTAATAATGACCCTATAGAGTAGAACTACCAAGTTTTGTTATCTTGACTGTAATCTTTAGGGCAGTTTATGGCCAGGTCATTTTTTTCTGCAGAACTGGTGATGAATTTAATTACCATTATTTATGCTGTAGGGGAGCAGTTAACCACTGCATGAATAGGTTCTTTTAACTTGCCTTAATCTGTTTATGTCGCTTTAGGCAAGTTCTAAGGGCATAGTCTATAGAGAGTTATACTTCTAATCCAAAAGATGTGCATCTCTGGTGATTTGAATGTCTTAAATAATGTTATTCAATTTTATCGTGGCTATCTTTTCTCTTTTCTTCCCTGACATTGCTAAAGTTATATAGAAACATATGTGACTTAGGGTCCACATTATGATCATGTCATGTAAAGTAAAACATGATAGGATAATATGTTTTAATATTAATAAATATTATATGTTATAAAGACATTCTTTATTTCAAGAACAAGTTCCATTATGAATCAGAATAGTTAACTAAAGTTGTGGAAAAAGTCATCATGCTTGGAAAGGTGGAGATTCAGTAAAAGTGAGAAATATCCTTAATGAGTTGGATTGACACAATGCCTCTAGCAATGGGTTTAAATATGTTGGAGATAATAAGGCTGGCATAGGATAGGACAAGGTTCTGATCTGTTCAAAAGGTTGATATGAATTGTAATCAACTCAGTATCACCTTAAAACACAATAACTAACATTTATAGGTTTTGTTATGAACCACTAAGTCAGAACTGACTCACAGTTAATCCTCCAATGGGATTTTAGAGGCCCGTCTTTCTCCCATGCAGTAGCTGGTGGATTCAATTCTTGTGCTTTCGGGATTGAAGTGCAGCTTCTTACCACTAGGCCACTGGAGTTCTAAAAGCAATTAGTCACATGGTTTCTTAAAATATACAGTGCAACTTTCTATGCATAAAATCTTAAATAAACATTTCTAGATATGTTAACACTTCTTTAACATCATAATATCATACTGCAGAGTTAGCTTAAACATTGGCTTTTCTAGTCATTGTAGCTAGTTCCCTCTGATCTCCAGCTACCTAAAGTGCAAACACATGGTCTTGCAAGACTTGAGGGGACTGAGAAAGCGTGATTTTAGGGAGACTGGAACAAGATGCTAGTTACAGTGAGACTTTGGTGGCAAGACCTGGTGATGGTGGTTAAGAGACTGTGGTTTTGCTGTGGAGAAACAGTAGCAAGTTGTAACCAGAAGATCCCTGAGATAAAGGCCACAGTTAAAGTTTATACTGTTCTTGCAAGATGATATAAGGAAAAATTGACTGCTCAATTGGAATCTGAGCCTGAATTAATAGAGAGATTGGGCCTTGGGACTGCTGAGCTAAAACTTGGACTTGAATTTGGTCAAATTCTCTAATGAATTTCCCTAATAAGCCCCATTCTTGATACCACAACTAAAATCTGTCTGTAAGTTAACAATACCTATAAAAATCAGTCAATAGTGAAAATAGGTGCAGGGGTGTCAGAGATGATGTGTCTAATCTAGAAGATATCTATTTTCTGCTATGGATATTATTGAAGGAGACAGCTCACCTTTATGAAGTGGATAGAAGTCAGACTCAGATACTGCCACACACATCCTACATCTCCTTCTTTCCCACATACTAATAACAATCTTTTGTTTCATTTTTATTGGTCTATTTACAAAGTTTGTACACATTGTTTTTCACACTTTACGTTTCATACAATCATTGACATGCGTTATGTTTTATAAAATTAATTACCATTGAACCTTGTCCATCATCACCCTGTCTTCAAACAGATCATTACCATTTCTTTCCTCCTCCCACTGCACCCATCAAACAGTACAACCCTGTGATTTCACCACTACTCATCTGCAACCTTTCTCCCTTGTGTTCAAATACATGTTTTACTAGTTATCCTTCTATTTTTATAATAATGGTTTTATGCAGTATTTTTCTTTATGATACTGCATTAGTTTTCTCATTATAATGCACTCTGCCCCTCCCAAGTTATGTATTATTTTTTAAATCATTGCTCCTGAGTGCTACATAGTATTTCATTGTGTAAATGTACAACTTCTCAGTCCATTCAGTAGTTGACATTTCCTAAAACAGTTCTACATAAAAACTCCATATGACCAGCTATTTCATTATGTGAAATATACTCCAAGGAAATTAGAACTGACACCCAAACAGAGATTTGTGAGCAAGTGTTCTTAGCAGCTTTATTCTGCATCACAAGAACATGGAAATAATAACAGAAACAAATAGGTACAGTTAGTTCGAATGAACCCTTGTATATATCTCAAATTTTTAACACAACAGATTTTAAGGATGGGTTGTATATAAATTGAACATTCATATTTGTTGTCCAGAGATTGTCTGTTAACCTTATGGAACCTCGAGAAATATATTCAGTCAAACATTGCTTTAATGGACATTATTTGCAGCATGATAAGATATTTATCGATTGGATTTTTTTTTTCAATCTTACCTAAATCATTAGTCCATGTAAATGAGATAATGATGCAAAATCTGATAGTTACCACTTTTTCAAAAACATATATGGAACAAAATATTTCTCACTTCAACACTCTGCTAGAACACAGTGGCAAAAACTATATTTATTAACATCGTTTAGAACTCACCCCTATCAATTCTCAAGTTTCTTTTTTTAAAAAATATTTTTTTAATTGGGAAAAACATGTTGGGGATACAAGGAGGTGAGGGTTGGGAGCAGAAGGGTGGGGATGGGGAGGGTGAAAATTGCAGGGATGCAGTTGCAGGGCTGCACAAATTAATTTGGTTGGTAGGGGGAGCAGGTAAAGGGAATGAAAAAATCCAGTAGGGATCAGATGTTACAGGGCAGTGGTAGGCATAGATCAATGGTGATTTAACAAACTGTCTTATTCAGTTGTGGGTTTCTCATTTGGCTTCTTCGTGCTGAACAGGGGTGTTGATGTGAAGGGGGAAAGGGAGCACACTTTATCACCTAACTGGTGGTCTTGGGTTAAACCCGCTTGCCTTCTTGTTCTGGTAGAAGGTATTTCCCTGAGATTTATTCCCCTCTGGATTGCAAAGTGTTTTCCCAGATGGGCCCAGTGGGGATGGCTGACTGAACCCTGAGGCTCCATCCCCCTTTGCTTCCTTAGCTGGAAGCTGTATTTCCTTTTTGTCACTGGAACTGGGTTCAGGGTCAGGTCTGCAGTAAAACTCAGTGTTAAGATTACCTATAGAAAAGAGAGCAAACCTAGAGAGAACAAACTCGTGAGTTACAAATAGAAGGGCTTTTGGGGTGTTATTTTACAGGTTTACTGGAGGAGAGGGTGGAGGAAAGTAGCCTAGATAAAATTCTCTGTACACCGTAGGCAGTTTTTCGTACCCAGGGATCGGATGGCACAACCTGAGAGCTGAGGAGCTCACCCTGAGAGCCGGCTCACCCCGGGCCGAACACAGCCCACCCTGGGGGCCGAGAACGGCTCACCCTGGGGCCAAGAATGGCTGGCTGGCACACTCCCCCACCAAAGTCCTCTTGCCCCAAGTCCAGACCCCGTGCCTCACTGAAGACCATGTGGCCAGGGACAGCATCCCCGATTCCAGCTCCACCACCTTTACCCTCCAATAAGTGGTCATACTGTAATTTGAAGTAGGTGTCACTGCCCTCCCTCTTTATAAATGGAGAAGGGAACCTGAGAGTGGTGAACAGACCCCTCCCAGGTCTAAAATCTTCTTGGCAGAGGCGTTCAACAGATCAAAAGATGTGGTGCATTTAGTATATCTGCTGTCTTGGACATGCTGCCACTATTAAGTGTCATCAAGTCTCCAGTCATAGGCAGTTCACAGTGACTTTCATCAATCCATTGTGTTGGTGATCTTCCTCTCTGGTCTGCCCATGGAAACCCCAAGCTGTCATTGTGTCTTTCGCTGCTGCCAACTTGGCTCCAAGAATTCTCCCCAGAACAAGTGCAGTCTGTGGCCATGTGGCAACTCCACTGCACCAACCTCAGGTGAGGATAAGAGGATAGGGGTGTGCCACCATCCATCCCAGGTGAGGAAATCCCTGGGGTTCAGTGGTGGGGGCCTCGATGAGCTGTGGTGGCAGTGCGGGCTCGGCAGCAGGGGGCTGGGAGCCGCAGGACTCACCCATTCCTCCCTGGGAATCCTTGATTGCTTGCTGTTGGGCCTCAATCTGCACCGAAAACCAGTCATCAACTGTTTAACTGTTCAATTATCAATAAACAGAGGTCTGTAGAAGACCACGGCAGCCCTCCTCTATGTAGTCTGCTGCTCCCACAGCTCACCACGCTGTCTCTGCCGCCGTCACATTCTTCTCTTCTCAATTCTAAATGTCTTAAAGTTTCTTAATTGACCTAAAAAGAATTTGAGTCTCTTTTCTCTTATCTCTATCTCCATGCCTTTATTATCTATAATAGACTTTCATTTCTATACACAATTAAACTAAAAATTCCATATAAGTGGGATAACACTTGTTGAACTTTTTATTTGTCCTTTTCTGTTTTCTTTTACCGCCATATTTTCAAGATTCATCTAAGTACCATATTTTCAGGTCTTTTAATTTCTTTTTTTATTCTATTGCATCTTTGTACCATGAAAACATGATATATATTTAGTCATTCATCTGTTGATGGGCCTTTAGGTTATTAAAATTGTTTTGGAACTGTGAATATTGTTGCAGTCAATATTTGTGAGCAAGTATCTATTTATGTTTCTGCCTCTAATTCATCAGAATAAATAAATATTCACAGAACTACTGGGTTGGATGATAATTTTATATTTAGCTTTTGCAGAAACAATCAAATTGTGTCTACAATAGTTGTAATAATAGACCATCCAATGAGCAATAAAAGTGGGTTCTAATATCTCCACATCATCATCAATCCTGTTATTTTTCATAGCCTGAGGCTAGGAATAGGGTGCACTTTATTCATTTATCACCAATTTAAACAAGAACTAGCTTGAGTTTTTAACACCACTTGTCAACCCCATACAATTTACCCCTTGATAATAACACTGATAAATTTTCCAACATCCCATATCTTTTTTTTGTTTTATTTTATCATATTTTTGTGCATCTACCATCAAACCGGATCTGACTGGTACAGGAGGAGATTGCCCCTCCTTCTCCAGCAGAGCATCTGGTGGATTTGAACCACGC